GTCGGCCCAGTTTGGGTGGAGCTGGGTGAAGGGTGAGTTCAAAGGAAATGGAACTGTAGGGAGAGGGGTGGAGGCGTGGGTGCCACCCAAGCTTCTACCGAGTCATGATGTTCTGCAACATTAGCACTTTCACATTGAACCATACACATGCAAGCAGAAGCACGTACACACACTCAGCCACATCTACAGCAACACAGTCAGTATTTTGAAATAAACCTAAAAACAGTTTCCATCTGATCTCCCCTGGTGCCATTATTCTGCAAGCAAGTTCCCATCAGCTAATCAAGATTGCACAATTGATATTCTGGGATGGGGAAGTCCCACCAAATACATCCCGCTTATAAACATGTGGTGGTTTCCATGGTGACACAGAGGGAGGCCCAGAGAGCTACGCACCAGTGACTCCCACTGAGTCAAAACTTTTCAGAGAAAAAAATGACCCGCATTAAAAAAAATTTCGCTTTGCACATGTGTGTGCGCACATACGAGGATCTTGTACACACACTCCAACAATGCACACTGCACTAGGGACAGCATTTGGATGCCATCCCAGCCTGCACTGGGAGTGGCGAATTACGTCACTTGCTTAACAGTTGTGTGTGTGTGTGTGTATCTCCTAACCAAAGTTAATGAAGTCTACCGTGTGTGTGTGTGTGTGTGTGTGTGTGTGTGTGTGTGTGTGTGTGTGTGTGCTTTTGTATATCAAAGAGCTATGTAATGAATATTCCATTGTCCAAACTAACCTTGGATGGTATGAACTGCACTGGAAAACTCCTCTCACATGTAGCAACAGAGACCTCTGTCTGAGAAGAGCTTTGTATGTGTGTCTGAATAAATAATTCCATTCATCTGTGTCCTTGTGCACCTAGACTGAAACAGGCATCTTACCGTGCTTGGCCAAGATTCATGCTGTGACCTTATTTCCTGTGGAAGCAGCCGAGGAATGATGTCACCCTCATCCGACCCAGAGTCAACAACTGTAAGCTGCAGAGCCCCCCAACTCATCCCAAAAGTCTATTTTTCATCCCTTTTTCATCACCTGCTTCTCTTCTTCTCTAACTCCCCATGAAGTCCTCCTTTCTCTAAAAGCCAGTTTCGCAGTAAACAATAAAATTCTTACTCCTGCTGTCTTGTACAGACCTTCATTCATGCAGCTTTCCTGTCTAACTGTTATTTCCTGTCAGTCCCACACTTTTCTTTATCACACCTTTATCATAATTTTTTTCAAGAGTCCTTGTGCCAGAAAGCAGGATACTGTCTTAAAGGTGCACAGGACTAAAAATACAGTTGGGAGAAATCAGAACATTATATGCATTCCTCTCTCGACAATAAGATGAGAATGCTGCATTGACCTTGAGTGGCACTTACATCCTGAATGCTTATATCAGAGCTGTGCATAACAAGAGTAAATTGCTATTGCACTGTTTTCAGATGTGAATATCGACTTGTGTTATGAAACACAAATAAATCCACAAGGTAGCTCCACTTTTGATAACTGTGTGCTTTCTGGAAATGCTTTTGTAACCAGCCAGATCACACAACTGATGCTGTCTTTTGTGTAGTGCACTCAAGTGAATACCACCTCACAGGTGCAGATGTTATATTTACCTAAATACTGTAGGCTTGACAGGACCCAGTAAAAGTCTGCTATTGTGCTTGTTACTTTATGTGTTGCATTCTTGTGAGTGTGGTTCAGGATATTTGATATATCTCCCACCAAAAGAATTCAGCTGAATCAGTCCATCAGTAGACATGTCACTAGTTACAAGCCATGCAGAGTCCATGTTTTCAGCAGAGGGTACCCCAGTTATGGCCCAGACCTTGGCATGGACAGTAAAGGGTGAAGCTCTACCACATCCTCACTAATGTCCTGGGGGAAATCTGACCAGTGCTATTCTAGCATAGCAATATGTTCACGGCTTTTGGCAAAAACACTAAAATCAGCAGTAGGTTAAATAAGCCATGTGAATGGCAGCTCTGGATGTGGCCAGAAGTGTGCATGTGTCTCTAAATCATGTCACCATTGACTGTAATGAAACAACTCCTCCGAAACTAAAACATTCAGGTCAAATTTAGCTGGAGGGAAACATGCTCTCAAATTTCTTATCTCGTATTTCTCAAAAACAAAGAGGGGAAGAGTGAGTGAGAGAGAGAGAGAGAGACCAACTCCCGGCTCTTTGCCACAGACCACCAAGAGATTTAGTTGCTGTCAGGGTCACTCGGTGGCCGCTGCCTCTCCTCCGTCTTTCTCTCCTCTGCTCTCTCTATCCTGTGGGCTCTGCACCTCAGCTGTGTTGCATTCCAGTAATTAGCAACTGGTTTGTCGCTGCACACAGCTGGGGTGCATCCCGATGATTGCCTTCTCCTCCTTATATAAACCTCTGGCAGACGCTCCGTCTTGGCCGGAACATTAACATAGTAACGCGGACTGTACATGTTGGTAGAATGCTACGCTGACAGACACTGTGCGTTTTGGCTTGACTCTACCACACTACATACGCACTACGCTCATTTACACTACACTACATATCATACATATCCAAGTACCGTACTTTCCCATGTTATGTTCTTTTGATACTTTGTGTTCTCTTTATTTACCTGCTACCGTCATGTTTTTCCCCCTAGCACCTGGGTCTGCAAACTTGAGCCCAACCTCAGTCCTCCCTAACCCTCCTGGTGAGGGGGGCTACCATAACAGTTGCCTCCACTTTGAGCATCACTGTTGCCACGTCTCCCCGCTCTGAGTTTGACTGTCACAGCCTCTCTTCTGATTTATATTAGCTGGCTTCCCTGTATCCATGGAGATTAATGGGTCTGCTCAGACAGGTGCAGAAAGCCCTGTATTAGTCTGTCAGCAGCAGAACCAACATTAAAAGTGTGTGCACTCACACACACACACACACAGAGATAAAGGCTGCTCCTCCCTGAGACCAGTGTCATCCCAGAGGGCTTAGCAGAACTTCCCATCAAAGCCAAGGCTGTGCCAAGAGAAACACAGCTACAAATTTCCAAGTTGTTGTGTGTGAGCGTGCATGAGCATTTTGTCACTGTGTGTGTGAAGGGGCTTGCCTTGTTTACAGTTTGATTGGCAGTTTAATGTGTAACCAAGGCAGGGGGTGGGGTTGGCACTGAGGAGTATTAGCACAATTCCCAGAGTGCTAAAGTGGGCATTGGGTGTCAGAGAGCTATTCCCAAACTCAGCTGTGACCCACAGTATCACTGGGTCAGCTTTCCCTCAGGCCAACAAACAGACACACACATGCTTGGTCAAGCACACATACATTGACCAGTGTTATGCATACAGGTGAATACACATGCAACTGTACACATATATACTGTATGTGCACTGTATCTGTTGCACCTGGTCAAGCCTGGGTGCACATACAACAACACAAACATCCATGCACATGCTCTCACACACACACAGGTCCATTTACACTGTGGCGACAGTGGGTCTGTTAGCGGGATGCCATAGTACAGAGGGGTGGACAGATTTAGGACACCCTCATACTTAGCTTTGCCAGGGGTGGAGGGTAAGGATACTATTAACACTTGGTATGCCAACAGAAGCCCATAACCCTGACTCCACCTCGCCCCGCCCTTCAACTGCCCTCCTGCTGTGCTCCAATCAGCACCTCTCATTGCATTACTCTGCCATCCACACAGCAACAACTGTTCTTCCCTGCTCCCAAAATAACAAAACAGCCAATCACAGGGCAGGCAGAGAGGTGGTGGTCAACACAGACCTTGACTGTAGGTGAAAGGACACTAAGAAGAAAAACAAAAGGCACCCAGATGCACAAAGGAAATAAAAAAAAAAATCTGAGAGAAAGCATGAAATATGCAAGCACGGCCCATGATGTGGAGGCCGAGAGCAGAAAAACAAAGAGAAGAAGGAGGGATGAAGGATGGAGGAGGAATGAGATAGCAAAATGATGTTTGGGTGCTTGCTGTTCTGTTCTGGCTGTGGCAGCTACCATGGTAACCTCCTAAATAGGTGCCCTACATATCAACAGGGCATAAGGTTACACAGCTCAGTAAATAAACACACACTAACAAACAGCAGAGAAGAAGTAGTGACTGAATGAAGCAGAAAAATAAACAAATTAGTAACAAAAAATATTAAAGGTGGCGATGCAGAGACAGAAAAAAAAAACTGACAACGGTAATGATTTGAAGCTGTGTCAGTGGTAATGTGTGTTTGTCTGTCATGCATAATTACCTAAATCCACAATGTGCTGCTGAACAGCCACATCAGAGACAGGCTGAACTAGCCCCCCTATTCTGAGCTGATTCCCTGCTGTGTCAGTCACATACCCACATACAAACACACACTCCAACTCCCCTACTTCTCTCTCTCCCTGTAGCACAACTCTAAATAACTCTTAAACATTCCCCAAGGAGGAAAGGAGAGCCAACATACAACATACACAGTGCAGTACAAGACACAAGTTAAAAACCAGGAAACGAACAGAGAGCCACTCCCAACACAATGAGATATTCTGTTATATGATTCATAGTGCTGGCTTTTTTATTCAAGCCCACATATGGACAACATATCAGTGTGTTCATAGCAGTTAATGAATACTGTTCATCACAACACATTTATTGCAGCAGCATCAACCCCGTTGTGTCACAGCAATACAATTCTCACATTGGCATTTTACCTTTTATGATAAAAGCAACAAAGGCTGACTTTCAAATTGTCTATTCTTAGTCTAATGTCACTCATTCTGTCACTTAGTCTGTCTTTCTCTCAAATCTGCTCTCTTCTTACACCATAAATGCATCTGAACATTTTAGTTATTGGTGATTGTGGTAAGTTACTGGTTAATCAACTTTGAACTACATATTAAAAATCTGCACTATGTCCAACTACAGATAATGAAAATTAAATCAAACATACAACATAGAGATTTCCTCCAAAATCACAATTTGCCATTAGCTTGTGCACTTGTGAGTATTTTTAATTTATTTATTAAGGTGTGTCTTTCACTTACTCTGATCACCTCTGGAGTCTGCTGGATGAGGAGGGTTGAACCGGTGTCTCTCACAGCAGCAGGGTCACCAACAGCAATGGCTGCATCTCTCACAGCTGCTGCAGCTGGGATGGCAACAGGAGCTGGAGGTTCAGCTGCAGTCACAGGTGTAAAGTCAAATGAAGGTGTGAAGGAATGCAAACTTGCAGATGTTACAGGAGCAGGACTATCACTTGAAGACAGGTCTGCAACTTTATCTGTAGCCTCAGTTGCAGGCTCATGTGTAGGTATAGGCAGAGGTTTGCAGGCAGCATCAGGTGTAGATTTAGGTGCAGGATCGGATGTAGCACTGCACACCACTGCTTCAGATACTGCAGGTACAGGTGAAGCTGCAGGTGTATTTTCAAGGGAGTGTTTTGTCGGTATAGATGGGACTGCATTTGTGTGCATGGGAACAGCAGCTGGTGGGTTTGTGCTGCCCAGACAGGTGTCAGCCCTGCCAGTGGCAGCCAACGTATCCTGCAGGAGCCTCATCACCTCCCTCTCCTTCCCACTCTTCCTCTCAGCACTCCCTGTTCTCCCTGCTCCAGAATCCACCAGCTCCTGTGCAAAGCTCTCAATGCTCTCTAGGATCCTCAGCAGTAGTGCCCCATCCTCCTCCCCTCCTATCAGAGCTTCTCTGTTCTCTCCCTGGGGAGGAGTGAGACTCAGGTCAGTCCTGGAGTTGGGGCCATTCATGGCTAAGTGGCTAGCTGGATTCTGGACTTGAAACTGGGTCATTTTGTGCTGAGTGACACCCTCACTGGAGGCAGTCCCCTGGCCTCCTTCTCTCTTCCTGGTCTTGGCTGGAAGTGGAGGCTCCATGTTTCTGGGGTGGCTCATACTCTGAGACAGATTCTCCAAGTCCATCAGCAGCTTGTCAATATCATCATTCCTGTGCGTGACTGCTACTGAGGCAGACGAGGGCCAAGTGGGACTGGAGCCAGTTGAAGAGTTATGGAGTGTGTGTGGTTGGGATAGGTGCATGTGTTGACTTAACACAGTTCCATTTTTGTTTTGGGTAGTGTTTACCCCTCTGCTTGAAGCGTGTGTCTGCTGTGATATTTGTTCCTGTGTCTTGCCCACCTCTGCTTCCTCCTCCTCTATAAAGAGAGCCTCCATGGGGGATGCTGGAGGAGTGTGTGCGTATGATGGCATTGGGGAGGTATGAAGAGGGGAAGGAGAGTGTGTTGGAGAGGAGCCGGATGTAGAGCCAGTGACAGAGGGGGAAGAGACTGTGTGTTGTGTGATAGAAGAGTGGAGATGCTGTATTCCATTAGTAAGAGGAATGGTTCTAGATGGGGAGCTTTGGACTGGTTTGGTATTGATGGAGTCTGATTTCAAAAAAGACGAGGAAGACGAGTGAGGAACAGTCTTTGGGATGGGAGGTGAGTGCACTACATCCTCATAGCGAGGAGGCTGCTCATTGCCAAATATTGGAGAGTAAGGTCCCTGCTGAATGGAGTGGAGAGTGTTGACCAGCTCGGCCAGATCACTGTGCCCGCTTCCAAGTGTACCCTGCCCACTGCCTCCCAAACCTCCAATCCCCTCCAGATCCAGAGGCAGTCTCTTCAGATAGGAGCTGAGTCGGGACATCACAGCCCGATACACACTGTCAGGACTGGCTCCCCCATCCTCCTGCCCTCCACCAGCTTTGCGTCTGATGCACTGCTTGATGATGTCAGTACATTTCTTTAGGTCTTCAGAACATTTAAGAAGGATGTCAAGGCAGGCACGGATGTCCTCCCCGCCGGCTCCCCCAGTGCCACCCTCTGCCTGTGTTTTCTCTAGCAGACGGGCAATTAGGTTCTCCTCTCCTAGAGTGTTTCGGTACAGGGAGGCCACAGTATTCACACTTTGATCTAATGACCCAATACTTGAGCCACTGCCCACTTTGGAGGTGGCTGACAAGGAGCCTGAGTTAGCCTTTAGCTTTGTCTCCTCCAGACCTGCCCCTCTCCCTAGCACAAAGGGTGGCATGTTCTCATCATTAGAAGTAGCTATGCCATTTGTCATGCCATTAGTTGTTCCGTTAGTCATGATATTAGAGCTGAAGTGGCCATAAATGATATCCAGGTCGGTGGAGCGACGACTGAAAGAGTCAGGACGGACCTTACGACCTTTCCGGAAGGTGACGTGGCTTGAGGAGGACAGGCGAAGCTTGTCAAAAGAAAACTCTTTGAGCTTACCACTGGCCAGGTTGATGGCCTCTTCAGTAATATCCTTCAAACTGCCAGAGAAGCTCAGGTTCCCAGTTGATCCTCCGCAACCTGGGGTCTTTTTGCGCCACACAGGGCTGTCTTCCCCTAAAGACAAACTGTCACTGCTGCCCGCCCTTTCTAGGCTGCTATTATAACTATCCATGGTAATTTTGCCATGATTAGGGAGTAGCTGAGTGGTCATGTTACAAGAGTGTATGGGCGAGCTGTAGGCGTCAGTGTATGCTGAGTCTGGTGCAACCAGTAGCTCGGAGCAGGTGCCATGGTGTGCCACAGTACAGTCCAGTCCCCGGGACAGTGCCCCACATGGCCCTGAGCAGTAGTGCACAGCATGGGAGTGTGTGCGCCGGTCCACTACCACACTGTTATAGCAGCTCACACTGCTCACCACTACACGATAGGCTGCTGCCATGGTGGCCAATGTGTTTCAGGGCATAGGAAGATAAAAATAATATCAAATGTAAAACAAAAGCAAAATAACTTTGACAAAAAAATCCCACTGGATTTTTTTATTCTTTTGGTTGAGAGTTTATATCAGTGTACATCCAAACACTAAATCATCTTGTTGAAATACGGTGTTTTTCAACTGCATGGTGATAGTTTTCAGACAATGCTGAATCACAAACAAAAAACAGCTGGCAATCAACACCTGAAAAGAAATATCCACTTCCAAAGTTGTTATCCATTCATTCTTGCACCTGAAGCAGCTTTAAAGGGTCCCACTCCCTTGCCGAGGCAAATACTGCAATTCCTTTTTTCAAATCAATGGGCCTCTTAATAATAGCTGTACGGTTCATTCTTTCTCCACAGGCACCTTCCCCGCTTCCTCTCTAGCAGCAGCTCATTATCTGCTAATGATAGCTGTGGAGGATGGCGACAACAGAAGATCCAGCTGGGGTATCACCCGTCCCTCCACAGAAACAGCCCAGGGATTTAGCTGAGGCCAGCAAGGCCTTAACATTGCCCTACCCTGAGCTCATCTCCTGGGCATTGAGACTTATGAAAAAACCCCTTATCTCCCTCTGTGGTTTATGAAGTCCTGACGAAGCCAAAAACCATTCCAACACAGCTGCAGAATGGCAAGGGACCAAACACAGATGGCCGGCTGCCTCTTCCACTCTGAGTGCGTGTTGATCTGTGTCACTCTTGTACTCGCTTTCACCCCTTCGGTCTCCCGCTGTCAGCCGTGTGTCGTGCGTGTTTCTGACAGGAGGACACCACCTGCGAGTCTAGCAGAGAGGGGAGGACAGGAAGAGAGAGGGGTGCGAAGGAGAGGAAGGGAAAACAGAGGAGGAGAGTAAATCAGTAACACAGTAATCAAGAAGTGGATACTTGTGAAATGCAGCTGCGTGAGAGTATATATACATTTTGTTGTATGTGCAAGACACTCTACACCCTCCAGCTACCGTCCAGGCGACAACCTCTTTATCATCAAAAAAACCTTCCAAACTGTACTCAGCTTCTTTCCACATTAACATACACACACTGAAACACATCTAGATAAAACAGAGGAAAGGAAGGGAGACACATGGTGTTAAACAGGCAACGTGGCCGATCTACAAAGGTTTTTCTAACCTTGCTGAGAAATCTCGATGCAGCAAAAGAGAAGCAGGTGTGGTGGAGGGAGAAAATACCAGTTTCTTTCAAGTTTCTATTCCTGTTTTTGTCTTTGTTGCACTGCAAATCCTATATTGTGCTTGTGAAAGCAATGAAGAAGCAAAAGTTATTCAACTTCCCGCGCTTCAGATGACAAACAAAAAACTGAAGCAGAGAAGCACATGCACATACAAACAGAAAAACAGCTGTGAAGTAGAAGTTACAGTGCGACTGTTAAAATATACATAAACTTATTGCCGACTAGGATTACTGGTCAAAACTTTATAATAAAAATCTGAGTTTTCACCTCAGTTACATTTTACAACAGAAAGCAAACAGACAATGAAACACTTCAGAATTTATGCACTTGTGATGATTACTGCAAACATTTCAGCTTAAAGATAAACTGCTGAGGAATTTTTACTGGAGAGGCATTTTAGTACTGTTAAAAAAAAAAAAGTCAAATACCAGTAACATGGCACGTACCAGACACTAACAGAGCCTGACAGAAAATACTACATTTTTCATTATTGCTCGCCCTCTTTCTCTTCCTGTCATTCGCTGTCTCTTTCCCCTTCCATCACTTTCTTTTAGATGCCTTCATGTGTAAAATTCAGTATTCGAACACATCAATTTGTTTTTTTCTCCCTCTATTTTCCTCTCCTTCCATAGGGGCAACACATTCCTCAGCTATGCACGTGTGCTCGCACTGTAAATACATACTGCAGTTCCTGGCACAACCACACATATGCAATCTAACCTAGGCTTAATCCTAACGACACAAACATGCTGTATATTTAATGAAACTGACAGAATATCTTCATTTCTTTCAAAAATCCAAATGTAAAAATTCTGTGAGGCAGGATTTTCTGAGGAACCCCAGGAAGAAAGAACAACAGTGAGACGTTATTACAACTTAGACTGAGCACTGACATTTGACCTGAACAAGGTTCCTGGGGAATTATGGAGCTGGAGGTTCTTACTTAAAAGTGTGAAAAACAGCAACAGGGGAAAGGGGGAGAAATGACTGGCGGGCTTGTGGGTGGGAATGAGCGACTGACAAGGATGGGGCTGAGGGGTTGTGGCACCTGGAAAACAACTATGAAGACTTTCTATGGAAAAAACAGGCGGTGGCCTCATCTGTCTGTTTGACTTTCTCTTCTCTCTCCACATAAACACACACAACAACTGGATGCTACTGCATCAGTCTCTGGTGCAGGAAATTCCACTTTCTGGCAAGTTCCATGTCATTAACACATTTTCATCTGATTGAAACTTACTGTTCACAAAGGACAGAGTCAAGGTTTTTAACAAACGGGTAACACAAATGCAAATGGAACCGAAGTTTGTATACTTTATCATTTGCTTTCTCACTTCCCATTTCTTTTTACTACTGCTCTCCATGAGGTCTGGATTTAGTGGATTAGTTGATTGTGTTCGTGGAATCTCTTTTGTCCCTGCCTTCCTTCTTTCTGCTCATTCCAAAAAAAGTCTTTCCTTCAGCCCAACCTTCACCAGGAAGCAAGCCATACTGGTAGTGTTTTACTCTGCTTGCTATGTCTAATCCAAAAATGGGCAAATACGTGCCACGTGAGTGGTGCTCATTAGACAACTAAGGCCTGTCATTCACCTAAGTCAAAGTGGTCGTTCCCCCATATTATGTTTAACTTTTAGTCTCATTATAATTTAAGAAAAAAGTACACTCCGTACAGTTGTCATGAAAGGAGAAATTAGCTATGACACCAAAACCATTTTTTGTACCAGGCTATAAATACAGGCATTTTAACATGGGAGTCTATGGGGATTGACTCCCTTTTTGGAGTTCACCTCTAGTGGCCATTCGAGGAACTGCAGGTTTTGGCTTCATTTCTCAGCCTCGGATGTTGCTGCTTGGTTACTCAGCAAGGGGCCACAGGGGCCTCACAGGGGAAGCAGGTCTTTGTAAAGAATAAGGCCTAAATAAGAACCCAAAACATACCCCCAAGGATGAGAAGACAGGTCTGTACTAGCCCAGTCGCTGTGCACACACACACACACACACATAAAACCTAATGCACAACTTCAGTGCTGCTACTGAGAGTTCTACTATGCCAAACACATACTAAACAAAACTAAGAGAAACTAGCAGCAGTTTTGGCATCTACCCTGCAACATGTATATTTTAAACCGTTTTCTTTCTTCTCCCCACTCTTCTTTTCTTTCCTCATATGATTTTAATATTTTTACTTTTCCCCACACTGATTTTTTTACATAGTAGTAGTTCTGACCTACTTCTCTGCTTGTGTCTGCAATCCCCTCACTTTTTACTTTGAGTGCCTGTTTGAATGTACACATACACAGAGCACATGTTCATACTCTCTTAAAAATAAAGTCACACTAAAGAAGAGTTTGTTCATGAGCCGTGCATCATCAACTGACTTGCTGGCTGAAAGACAGAGGGGCAGACAGATAGACAGCTACTCTGGCAAACAGCTCTGTCCTTGGCAAGACTGGACCACACTTCAACTGTCATAATTTTCTGTCAGCTACAGCTGCAAAGGAAGTCAGGCTGAGAATTAAGGAGACAAATGGTAAGAATAGGAGGAGAAGAACCAATCTTTCTTACAAGCCAAATCCTTCACTCATTCTCTCTCGTACTTGTTCCTCTGTCTATACCCTAATACAGCAAAATAATACAAAGAGTACAACACGTTTAAATGCGATGTATGAAACACAGCAGGAGGGTTCTGGTGACAGTCCCAGATGCACTAAACCAGTGGCCTTTCTTGGGGAGGACAGCAGATGTTTTGGGGATCTGGATTACATGCTTAGAGACAAGCAGGAAGCCACTCTGCAAACCAGACATTTGAACCTTAGCCAAAAAACTATTTGAAGCAGAATCAGAGGGGATATCTGACAAAATTACAGATTAAGGTTAAATCAATTCAAATAAGTGAGAATGTATCTGGTTGTTTAGATTGTACAAGCAATGGAAAGAAGATCATTTCCATGCATCTATGGACTAGGAAGGCGACCATTCAAATGCTTTTTGATGAAACTTTGTTTTATTTCATAGTCTACAGTAAAAATGCATAAGCCCAAACATTAGACTGAAAGAAGTGAATACCTGGCAGAAAAGAGGGAAATGAAGACAAAAAGCGAGAGACAAAAAGTGAGTGATTTCTTTAGCATAACTACAGTGAGGAACAGAAGTATTTGAACACCCTGCGATTTTGCAAGTTCTCCTACTTAGAAATCATGGAGGGGTCTGAAATTCACATTGTAGGTGCTAATGGTAGCCTCACACACATATACACACTCCAACATGCCATAAATATAATTAGGGCTTCTTAAAAGGAAAAAATGGAGAGAAAGAGCATATGTGTGTTATCAAAACTGCAAGACTATGTACTGGGGGGGGGGGTTCGGTGTCTAGCAGACTTACTGTAGGTGGGTAGTCTCATTATGTCTGCCAAAACATATCGTCTAGATGAGTCCCAGGCTGCTGAAAGCACAAATGACTGGGCTATGGACACACACACACAGCTGTTTATGATAAAACCACGTGTGCAGGCTTGATAGAGCACACCCCTGGATAATTGCACTGGTCTTAGCACCAGGGCTGAACCGGCCTGATCTGCATGCAGGCAGCTCCAGAACTTTTATAAAATCACTGAATTTTTACTTAACCACAGAAAGGCAAGACTGGACAAACAGTATTGATTTATATTTGAATAGTTGGCATTCAACTTACTGTTATGACAGTTAAGCTGAAAAATGTTTTCTATTACCGCTCCCTGCCAGAACAAAGCAATAAAGTCAAATGGTCTTCATGTAGCTGACAGGAGGGGACTTTCATGCTGGGCTGCCTGTTCTGCTTCTATAGACACAGCACAGGTCAAGACTGCCCTGAATACCCAGGGCACTGCAAAGGTTTCAGTACCACTCTCACTATGCATGGACTATACTCAAGCTGAAACTATTATCAAATTAATAGGGAACTATTTTAATAAACATTTCATGTTTAAAGTCACATTTGGCCAGTGTTAGGTTTCCCATATGCACAGTGAAGGAACCTTTAGATGTGACAGAAAGGATGTCTCTGGCTGTCACTTGGTCCATCATTTCTGGTTTTCTCCTGCCTCTTTTCTTCTCATACTCTCCTCATTTCATTATCTTCCTTTCTTCTTCACTGACTGGCCACACACTCCTGCTTTACAAGTTGCCGAGAGTGCTCCTTTACAGTTCTACACCTCCGGTGCTGTACCAGCTGTTCCCCTGGTGCTCTTCACATCTCATGGGAAAGTGAGCTGTGTGAATAGCTCAGTATCTTATTAAGAACCAAAACAGTAAGTTCAAGGACTACAGGACACATGTACTGTATATGTATGCAAACACATAAACACAATACATCCCCTGAGGGAAGGTAGCGAGGGCAGCAAAGAGGATGTTTTTGTGCTTCTGAGTAGATGAGAGAAAACAGTGACTCACATCTTTTCTTATCCTTAAATGTTTCCTGGTTAAAACAGCTTGGCCTTATAAGGGTAATACACACAGTTTTGATCTCTCACACACACACAGACACACAAAGACCCTCTGGTTCCATTACAGAGGGCAGAAAAAACATCCAAACCTGCAGCACACACACAAATGG